CCGGGCCGCACAGCAGGAGATGAGTGGCGGTGAGTGAGCGAAGCTTCATCTGCCCTCCCCATCGCTCACGTTACCGCCTGAACCATCCCCCGCCCCTTTCACCCCCCATACCTCCCCCCCCAACCCCCGTCTGTGGAAAAATTGTCTTCCACGAAACCGGTCCCTGGTGCCAAAAAGGTTGGGGACCGCTGCTCTACAGGGGCCTTCCACTTCTCTTCCATCTATGGTAACCCCAAATAGAGGGCCTTCCTTCCCTCCTTCCTTTTTTTCTCTCCCCCAGGCCCAAGTACCAAATCCTGAACATGTTACCCTGTAACTATCGCTGGGTTCTGTCTCCTTCTCATTCCCCAAAGTCCAGTCTTAGCTGATGCTTTATGATCTCTCCTGAGCTGCTTCATACTGCATCTCCCCTAGGTCGTGTCAAATCCATCCTCCATCAGCTGTTCCCCATTTGAGAGCTCCCAGCGCCCTGCCCCATAACAGCTCTGCTTCTCAGAGGATGCGCAGGACTCCACGTGGATCTGGCCTCGCTTGCCACACAGCTCCCCCTTCGCCCCCAATACACAGTCTGGGCTCCTCTGGGCAGCCCCGAGAACCTGCACATCTCCAGAAACGCACAAAGCAGTTTTGCCCTCTGGCAGGTTCACCCCGGCCAGTCAGAATGATACCTCTTCCAAGAAGCCCCCCCTGATGCCCCCACCCCTCCACAAGACTGATCGACAAGCCTCTTTATGCTCCCTTACCTTCGCGCCCTATCTGTGCTAGTGCCACTCTGTGCTTTTGCGCCTGGGCTCCGCAGGTATGTGCACACTTTGGGGAAAGGACTGTGTCATAATCGTCTTTGTATCCCCGGGCCCTAGCCCATCAGCTGGGCCCCCTAAACCTCGAGAACTTCTCCCTGCAAAGGAGCCAGGGTGCCCTCCCTCAGAGTGTCTTTAACCCAGGGCAGGTGACCTGGACCCAGACGGGGTGACCTAGGAGCCTCCATAGCATCGGCGGTCACTGCCCGCCCAATCAGGCCTCAGGGACCAAGGGAGTAATGGCGAAGGTCGCCACAGCCGGCTGGTTCCGGCGCTCAGGGTCGCGCGGTGGATCCGCTCCCAGCGCAGATCGTTGGCTGCCTGGGGCGGCTGGCGCACGCGCGCGGTCGTCATGACAACGCCGCTGCTGCGGCCCGCGGGATGCAGAGAGCATGCAGCGTAGCCCGCAGGAGGCCAGGCCTGAGTCCCGGACCCCACCTTCCGCCCCATCTACGACCCCTACTCCGGCGTGGGCGGCGGCCGACGGTAGCGGTAAGAAATAGAGGGTCCTTTGGCGCCGGCCTGGCCCGGACAAAACGCGCGAGGGCCGTCGGGGCCAGGCCCATTCCTTCGAGCAGACTTCGGGCCAGAGGTGGTCCGGCGGGAGGGTGCCCCTGGGAACCCCAGCTGTGGCCGGAACTTCGGGGCGCCCCCAAACGCAGGCGGGAGCGGAGCCCCAAGTTCCCGCAGCGGGTACGCTGTTCGCGCGGTGGGTTGTCCTGAAGTACTAAAGTGTGTGTGTCGCTTTGCTCTTACGGTCTTTGAGAAGGTTGTCTGGATATACTTCTTGGGCCCCTTTTTGTGCAGTCTCCAGAGAGCAGGGCCCAGGTGGGCGAGAGGGTCTGGAAACCGCTCTTTGCACCTCGACGCCAGCTCGGTTTTAAGTATTTCTGCACCCATGAATTATCCGGTAGCAAGTTAGGTATAGTGTGAACGCCCTCTCCCTCCACCATTTCCATTTTGGACATTTGTTGTAGATATGGAATTGTGCCAGAAGCCTTCGTATTCCTCAAAGCACCATGAGATGAGCATCGATATACTCTGCTTTTAGCATAAGAGGAAATTTAAGATCGAAGAATTTAAGTAACTTGTTCAGCGTCACACAGACGTTCTGGATAGGCACCCAAGTATGACACCCTCAACCCTTCGATTTCCCAGTACTTGGCTGTTCCAGTATAGGAGGGCATTGGGAACCACCTCCAAAATGAGCCCTTAACTAGAATTTTTTAAACAGGCTGTTAAGTAAAAATTATTTGGAATTCAAGACTCCAGTGTGGATTAAAAATGAAATCTAGGTTAGAGTCTTGACATTTTCTTGTGTAATTGGTTATTCCTAGGTTTTGCTTTACACTTTGCAGACTGGTTTATTATTTTCTCCTAATATGAATACACTATAGGAAATAAATTATTGGTGTCGTAGAATCCTGACATACAATACTTAGGTGAATTTTAAATAAAAGAGAGAGTAGCAGAAAGATATAGCTGAAGCTTTAAAATAATCGACATCCATGGCCAGGTAATTAAATACAAATATTCTTGTAAATTTCTTTAGCTATATTTAGCTTGTAATCTAAGATTCCTTCATGTCTTCACAAAAACATGACCTGTAAGTCTGTCTGTCTGCATGTCCTGGATACGGTCGTGCCAGCTGAGGGCAGGCAGAATGAACGTCAGAGAAATTCTCAGGGCAATCCTCTCTTCTTTGATGACATACTTAAGATCGTTTAGAAATCAAAATGGAGTAACTGTGGTACAGGCATGCAACATGGAGCCAAGTGGCCACTGTGGATATGATTTCAGATGCATTCCTTCATCACTGAGAACTTGAATTTTCTCTAAACTGTATCAGACTCAAGGACACTACCAGCTGTTTTCAAAACAGAATCTGCTAGCAGCTGCTAGTTGCAACCTTGTAGTTTCAAATTACCCCCACCTTTGCAATTTTGTAATTGTTTCAGACTCCTAACCAGTCCTTGCTTACCAAGCACCCTTACTTCTTGCCAGCTCCAATCCTAATTCTTGACAAACAATTTATGTAACCTCGTGGGTTTTTTGCATTTATAAGCCCCCACCATTTTGTAGTCTGGTGGAACACAGTTCAAGTGCTTCTTGGATCTGTGTCCCCTGGGTTGCAGTCCTAACAAACCCCAAATAAACACGTCTTTATTTCAATCAGGTCTCTATTTCTGAAATTTTGTTTAACATTTTTAATACCGAGGAAAGTAGTAGCCAGAAGAGAGGAAAGAAACCCAGTGGGAGCCCAGCTGCAGGAAGTAAATCCGTTTGAGATCTACTTGCTTTGTTTTCTGTTGAGGACGCTAAACTAGCATTTTTTGGATTGCATTCCATGTTAACCATGGTCACGAAAGTCCTAAGTCTGGGAGCACTTTTAACCTCCCTCCCCGCCAGGCTCAACAATCTGAGGAATCTTTGAGCACCTGAGAGTTTTAAATGTCCTGAGAAGTGTTGTAGATAGGAATCTGTTTAGCATTGTTCAATTCATCATTTCCCAAACTTATTTGACAGTAAAACCTATTCTATTTGGAGCATCTTGTAGATTAGTATTCCACAAAACACAATTTGGGAAATATTGTGCTAAAGTATTATTTAAATACATGAAAATTTCCTAAAATAAGTGAAAGATTTCTTTAAAAAAATTTTTTTAAATTGTAGGTGATTTACAATGTTGTGTTAGTTTCAGGTGTATAGCACAGTGATTCAGTTATACATATGTATATATAAGTATATTCTTCTTCACATTCTTCTCCATTATAGGCTATTACAAGATACTGAATATAGTTCCCTGTGCTATATAGTAGGTCCTTGTTGTTTATTTTATATCTGGTAAGTGAAAGATTTCTTATGTACATCTATCCACAAGACAGAAATTATGCTGATATTAAAAATTTTCAGAGAATATCTAATGATATGGGAAAGCTGCTCACAATGTTAACTTAAGAAAAAAAGGATATAGAAAAAGAAAAATTATAGGGAAGAAATAGCCCCAGACCTCAGTTGTGGTGGTTCTTTGGTAGTGGGATTGCTGATGAATGTTTCTTTTCTTTTCTTTTTTCTTTTTGATATTGAAATTTCCAAGTTATCTGAAATAGTGTGGGTTAAATTTATTTATTTATTTATTTGGGCTGCATTGCAGTGCAGTGAAAGCACAGAGTCCTAACTACTGGACCACCAGGGAAGTCCCCTAAATTTATTTTTTTTAAGTTTATTTTAAAAAACTATAAGAAAAGTTTATTTGCTTGCACTTGTAATATGATGTTCCTCATCTTAAATCTTGTTTTGCATATTTGTTTAGCAAACTCTTTAGTTCATATAGTGCAGAAATCCACTCAGCAAATAAGATCTTTGAGATGTAGAGACTTAGAGAAGCTGGATCCTAAAGACCTCAGGCTGATTGAGTAGTGATATCTGAGCATGGACTCTTAAAGAGACATACCCAAAAGGTAGGACAGAAAATACAGACAGTGGTGTGTGCTTCTAAGAAAAGTGTCAGCATACCTTCTACCCAAGAAGGCCTGGGCCTCAAAAAGGATGCTTTTAAAGTAATAGCGAAGGGGAGGGGGGAGGGATAAATTGGAAGACTGGGATTGATATATACACATTACTGTATATAAAATGGATAACTAATAAGGAGCTACTGTACAGCACAGGGAACTCTACTCAATACTCTGTAATGACCTATATGGGAAAGAATCTTAAAAAGAGTGGATATATGTATATGTATAACTGATTCACTATGCTGTACACCTGAAACCAACACAACATTGTAAATCAACTATACTCCAATAAAAATTTTTTAAAAAGTAATATCGAAAATAATAAGACCATTAAGGAAAAGTGCAGGTATAACAGAGGAACAAGTTCTTAACTCCTGTTTTGTTTCTGTCTTCCTTACTAAGGACTGGACAGGGAAAATCACCTTTAGAAAGAGGAAATGGAAGGCCTGGGTAGGTGAAGTGCTTCTGTGAGCTAGACCTCAACTTGGTGTTGGGAAGCACAGACAGAGCTGTATTCAAATGCCATCAACGTGCATTGTATAGAGGGTCTCCAAGAAGCCTGTTGGACTTGGTGATTTTTCAGATCCCTTTTGAGTTTAGACTCTGTGATAAAATTGTCTTTGTTTGAAGCCATGATAAGCAACCTTGAGTCACCCTAACCCATTATAGCAGAGTAGGAAGAGACTTTGGAGTCAGTATGATTCTGTACTCTGCCCTTATTTATCTGTATGATTTTAGGCAAAATACGTAATTTCTCTGGACATCATTTTCCTCAGCTGCCAGGCCTGTTACATAACAGAGGTTAGTTCTCCCTTTGTGTCACTTCGAAGTTAGTGTCTGCCCACCCTCAGTGGGTACTTCTATGGCCCTAGTTCTCCAAACAGCATTTTTCTTCTCTCCCATTCCTTCTTATTTTTCTTCCCTTTCTGTATTCTTAACGTCATCTCCTATTCTTCACCCTGCCCTCAACTCTATACGCACACATTTGTATCTTTGAAAGAAGTTTGATTTTCTTTTGGCGGGGGGAAGCTCCTGGGATAATGTATATGTGATGAAGGGTAACGCATTTATTTTTCAGAAGCTGCAGAACCTATTGGCGGTCTACAGGAATATTATTATGAGCTATGTGTGGAAAAGTCCCAGGAAATTAAACCTTTTATATTGCATATACTCCAAAAAGTGGATGAAGAAATTGAAAAGGGGTAAGGAAGACAAATACTTGATCACATCAGTAACATTCACTGATATTCATCTGTGTGAAAATACTGGAACACTGAGTGATTTGAAAGCCATTTGCAAATGCTTGATAAAGTGGACATACTTTTTGATTCAGCACAGATGATTGACATAGTTAGGTCTTGGAGGTAGTGGAGTTTACTGAGTTCCAGATTTGTCCTTAACTCCTGTGAGCTGGGTTTACTTATGCAAATCATTGAAGTCTTCAATGTCATTATCTGTCAAGTGGGAATACTTTGGTTTTCTTGTGGTTGAGAAATTAAACTATGCATATATATATATATATATATATGCAGGCTCAGCGGCCATGGCTTACGGGCCCAGCAGCTCCACGGCATGTGGGATCTTCCCAGACCGGGGCACGAACCCGCGTCCCCTCCATCGGCAGGCGGACTGTCAACCACTGTGCCACCAGGGAAGCCCTAAACTATGCATATATTAAGGTGCTTTGCAAAAGCTGTAGCATATTCAGTAGTTTTAAGTTACTTGATATAAATTTGTACTGTGGTACATACTTGGTTCCAGTAAATTCTATCCATGATGTTACTAAACATGAAGGAAAAATACTTTTATTTCTTTACTGGATTTCTTTTTTATATTTTAACAGATTGGCAGGAATCACATTAAATGTTGCTGGTAACTGTCGCTTAATGCCAGTAGAAAGAGTAACAGGTGAAGATTTTTGGATTCTTTGCAGAATTTTAAAGAATAATCCATATATTAATGGTATGTCTCCTTAAGAATCATTCCTTCCAGCTTTCATTTTCCTGATTTTAAGTGTTCACTAGAAGGAATATCAGCTTCTATTCATCTGTGTTCTTCAGGTTTGGATGTTAGATATAACCTCATAAGTGATGTTGGTGCATCCTATGCTGCAGAACTGCTTCAGGTATTATTTTACTACAAAATGTTCTTGGTTAATTTTTTTTTTCTCCCAGGACCCAGTTAAGAACCAGCCCTTTCTTTGGAACGTGCAGGGTTTCAGCACCCCTAGCCTGCTAAGCTAACCCTTTACTGCAGACTTCACTTTGGAGATACCCAAGCTGAAATGCTGTTTTATGGTTGCATTTTATTTACAAAAGACAGTGTGGCCCACCAATCAGAATAGGTGTCGTTAAAGAAAAGGCTTTGTTTCAACCTCAGAAGATTGGCACATACGTATGTATGTCTGTATTTTCAGTTAAAATAAAATGTTTAAAGCAGCATATATCATTTTTTATCCTTCCCTTAAATTGGCCTTTTAATTTCCTATTTGTTCCTTTCTCTTCTGCTACAAGTGCTTCTAATGAGCTTAAAATGAACTTAAAATTCTCATGTCCATGAAATGGCACACAATGTATGGACAGAGTGAGGATTAAAAAAAAAAAAAAGTGAAGTAACCAAGTTATTTTCATCAACCACAAATAAAAATGCTGCAAAAGCATCGTCATCAAAATATTCTTAGTTCTGTTTACGGTGAAATCACCTAGTCTAATGACACACACACAAAACACTAGTTTTGCAAAATGTCAAGTGTCCTGACTCTGTGCCATATTTATAACACTTGAAATATACTAAAAACCCATTTGTGTATTTGGTCTCAGTAGAGCTGGTACCTAGAGCCTCCTGAGTCATCTTTTGCAAACTCATACACTATGGTTAAGTACATAAAGCACATCCATACTTTGAATCATTGATCAAAAATGAATATAGTTCTTTTCTTTATATTGCCATTATATTTGTTTAAATGATCATGTTGATTTTTTCCCTTAATGGTCCTTTCTTTTGCTGGACCTTGAAATTTCCTGGTTATAAAGATTTTTTTTGGAGGTAAACACTTTTACTTAAAAAGCAGCTCTTACATATTATTGATTTCTAATAATATATATGTAATAGCTTCTTTTCTCTCCGTATTTTAGAAACAACATAATCTCATTTACTTAAACCTTATGTTTAATGACATCGGGCCTGAAGGTGGAGAACTGATTGCTAAAGCACTACATGTAAGCATTCGTATACCTCAAACTAACATTTTATTTGGGAATTTTAACTTCTTTAGTTTTAGCTTGGAACCAACAGAAACAAATGTTAATGTCAACTTATTTTAATATTGTGCGAATGTATATTTTTTATTTCACTTCAGTTTATTAAAATCTGGACATTACATGAGCACTTTTGAACTCATTTTTAAAAATAAACAGCTTTATGGATAAACCATAATGGAAAATATAAAAAAAGAATGTATATATGTGTATAACTGAGTCACTTTGCTGTACAGCAGAAATTAGCACAACATTGTAAATCAACTATACTTCAGTTAAAAAAATAGAGAATAAAAAAATAAAGAGCTTTATTAAGATATAATTCACATATACAAAATTTACCCTTTGTAAGTGTTCAATTCAGTGTTTTTTAAGTATATTGAATACAGTGGACCCTTGAACAGCACAGGTTTGAACTGTATGGGTCCACTCACATGTAGATTTCTTTCACTAAATACATGCTGCAGTACCACACAATCTACTGTCAGTTGAATCTGAGGATGCAGGACCTCGGATACAGAGGGCCAAATGTAATGTTAAACTCATTTTCAACTGCACAGAGGGCCGTCGCCCCTAACCCCTGTGTTGTTCAACAGTCAGTTATATTCACAGTTATGTGACCATCAGCACCATCACTGTTTTTAGAGCATTTTCCCCCAAAAAAGAAGCCCTGTACCTGTTAGTAATCCCTCTCTGTGCTTCTCTCTCTCACTCTCCAGCACCTGGCAGTCACATCTACTTTCTACCTGTAGATTGCCGATTCTGGCCACTTATAAATGGAATCGTACAGTTTGTGGCCTTTAGTGACTGGCCTAATGCTTTCAGATTTTATCCATGTTGTAACATGCTTCATTTCTTTTTATTGCCAAATAATATTCCATTGTTTGGAAATATCACATTTGTTCATCCATTAGTTAATGGACATTTGGGTTTCCACTTTTGCACACATTTTTCTGTGCATGTATGTTTTCAGTTTTCTAGGGTACATACCTAGGAGTGAAATGGTTCATTTGGAAACTCTGTTTAACATTTTGAGTGACTGCCAAACTGTTTTCCAAAGTGGCTGTCCCTTTTTACAATTCCACCAACAATGTATGGGTGTTCTGATTTCTCCATATCCTCACCAGTACTTGTTATTGTCTTTTTTTTTTTTTGCGGTACACGGGCCTCTCACTGTTGTGGCCTCTCCCGTTGCGGAGCACAGGCTCCGGACGCGCAGGCTCAGCGGCCATGGCTCACGGGCCCAGCGGGTCCGCGGCGTGTGGGATCCTCTCGGACCGGGGCACGAACCCGTGTCCCCTGAATCAGCAGGCGGACTCCCAACCACTGCGCCACCAGGGAAGCCGTATTGTCTCTTTGATTTGAGCTATCCTAGTGGGTATGAAGAGGTTTTGTGGTTTTGATTTGCATTTCCCTAATGAATAAAGATGTTGAGTATCTTTTTATATGCTAATTAGTCATTTGTATATCTTCTTTGGAGAACTATCTGTTCAAATCTTTTGCCCTTTCTGGAGCCCCTTATTAGAAACGTGATTTGCAAATATTTTCGCACATTCTGTAGGTTGCCTTTAACTTCCTTAGTGGTGTCTTTTGAAGCACAAAATTTTTTAATTTTGACAAAATTCATTTGATCTATTTTTTCTTTTGTTGTTTGGGCTTTTGGTGATGTACCTAAGAAGGCTACAACTTCATGACTTTGCCTAATCCAAAGTCATGAAGATTTACACTTACGTTTTCTTTTAACAGCTTTTTGATTTGGCTCTTTTAGTTCTCTGATACATTTTGAGTTAATTTTTATATATGATGTGAAGTAGGGGTCTAATTTCATTCTTTTTCATGTGGATATCCATTTGACCCAACACCTTTTGTTAAGACTGTTCTTTCCCCATTAATTTTGACATCCTTGTTGAAAGTCAGTTGATTATAAATGTGAGGGTTTATTTCTGTACTCTCCATTCTATTCTTTTAATCTATATGTCTATCCTTAGGCCAGTCTCACAATATCTCGACTACTGTAGTTTTGTAGTAAGTTTTAAAGTCAAGAAGTGAGTCCTCTTTGTTTTATTCAAGATTGTGTTGGTTCTTCTGGGTCCCTTGCATTTCCACATGAATTTTAAGATCAGTTTATCAATTTCTGCAAAAAATGCAACTGGGATTTTGAGAGGCATTGCTTTAAATATTTAGATCAATTTGGGGAATATTGCCATCTTAATATTAAGTCTTCCAATCCAGGAACATGGGATGTGTTTCCATTTACTTAGGTTGTTTTTATTTTAGTTTTTTACTTTTTTAATATTTATTTATTTTTGGCCACATTGCACTACATGTGGGATCTTAGTTCCCCGACCAGGGATTGAACCCATGCATCTTGCAGTGGAAGTTCAGAGTCTTAACCACTGGACTGCCAGGGAAGTCCCTGTTTAGGTTGTTTTTAATTTCTTTCAACCATGCTTTGATGCTTCGTAGTTTTCAATGTGCAAGTCTTGCCCTTTTGTTAAATTTATTCCTAATGTTTTATTCTTTTTGATGTTATTATAAATGGAATTTTCTTAATTTCATTTTTGAATTGTTCATTGCTAGTGTATGGAAATACAGTTATTTCTGTATATTGATCTTGTGTCCTGCAGTCTTGCTGAACTCATTTATTAGTTCTTCTTTTTTTTTTTTTTGGCCGGCTTGTGGGATTTTAGTTCCCTGACCAGGGATTGAACCTGGGCCCTCAGCAGTGAGAACACAGAGCCCTAACCACTGGACTGCCAAGGAATTCCCCATTTATTAGTTCTAACAGCTTTTGTTTTGTTTTGGTTTGGTTTTTTTTTGGTGGATTCCTTAGAATTTTCCACATATAAGATCATGTCATATGCAAACAAGAGTTTTACTTCTTTTCCAACCTGGATGCCTTTTTTGTTTCTTTTTCTTGCCTAATTGTCCTATCTAGACCCTCCAGTACAATGTCAAATAGAAGTGGTGAGAGTGGACATCCTTGCCTTCTTCCCACTCTTAAAGGGGTTTGACTTAATTTTAAAGTTAATTATTTCCACTTGTATGTCCAGATATTTATTCACTAGGACAATGAAATGTCTGTAATTTTGTGAAAGATTTATCAAAAGAAATGAAATAAGAGAAGGAATTAAACTTTGCAAATGTCTGAGAAATTGTATCACTTTCAAAATGATACAGGGGAATGTGAAGTGATTGCTTAATGGGTACAGGGTCTCCTTTAGGGGTGATAAAAATGTTTTGGAATTAGCTAGAGGTGATGGCTACACAGCACTGCGAATGCAGTAAAATCCAGTGAATTGTACATTTTCTTGCTTATTTTTTTTTTCTGCACCGTGCTGCTTGCGGGATCTTAGCTCCCCAACCAGGGATTGATCCCAGACCCTCAGCAGCGAGAGCAATGGAGTCCTAACCACTGGACCCCAGGGAAGTCCCAAATTGTACATTTCAAAATGGTTAATTTTGTGTTATGTGAATTTCATCTCAATTTTAAAAGGTGGTATAATTTTCTTAGAAGATAAATTTATAGATTTTCTAATGAAAGGAAAGTTATTAAAATCTGCTTCATTCACTGGTCATTATTTTTGGTATCTATTTCCTGGGCATTCTTTCTACTAAACTGTTAAACTAGATTTTTATCTGTTATGGGAAATTGAATGTTACCTTTAAGGAATATATCCTGTTCTATCTCCATGAAAAACTGATGAGTCTGCAAATAGTAATATAGTCTCCTAACTCATGTAATCTAAAGAGAATTCGATGGGTTAAAATTTTAACCAAGTTTTGCCTCTTTTCCTTTTCAGAAGAATACAACTCTGAAACACCTAAGAATGACTGGAAACAAGATTGAAAATAAGGGTGGAATGTTTTTTGCTGCAATGCTACAAATTAATTCATCCTTAGAGAAATTAGATCTGGGTGACTGTGATCTGGTGAGCAAAATTGGGTATGAGATAGTCACTCAGATATTGGATCATTCTCCCTGGAAACTAGCATAGAGAAGTGTCAGAGACCAGCTAAATGACAGTCTTATGAATGATTAAGCTTGTCTCTAAGGTCTAATATCAGAGAAAATATTTTTTTAAATAAGAATCAGATTATAATAATATTATGGAAGAATATCCAGTGTAATAAAAATCTTCCTAAACTTCCATCTGTTACCCTTCTTAACTTGTATGGGATTTTCTAAAGAAGATGATTATGTTCCTTTTAATTAAACAAATACTACTTCATTTGTATAATATAAATTTTTTACTTATGGAAACATTTTGCAGTGAGTAGTTATGTTATAGCATAAAACCTAAGATGATGCTAAGAGCTGCTCTGAGCCTTCATCTGGACTGATAATGAGAAGTTTGTCTGTTTTGCACGTCTTCAAATTCTAGGCTTCATTTTCTCAAACATGCCTTCAAACCTTCAGGCCTACTGTTAGGAACCTATTTTTAATAGGTTAATGCAAAATTACTGGGACAGGAAAACAGTAAGATGGGCCAAGGAGGCTCTTTGGGGTAATAGGCTCTAAAGCTTAAGAAGTGGGTAGATGCAGCCAGTATGGTCTTGGGAAAGCATTAATTTAATACACAGTTGACTCTTGATAACACGGGTTGAACTGCTGGGGTCCAGTTATATGCAGATTTTTTTCAATAGTAAATACTACAGTTGCTACAGGATTCAAGGTTGTTTGAATCCATGGCTACCACGGTACACAGTTGATCCTTGACCCTTTAAGGGTCAACTGTGTATTGTCTACACATACCAGTCACAATTCTAGATTCTAAGGATACAGGAGTGTATCATATATGATCTCTGCCCTTATAAAGGTTATATTTTAGTTAGGAAAACATCAGTAAATTAGAGAAAAGTGCTACAAAGTTGGCGAAGTACTCTGTTAATGGGCAGAAGGTAATATGCATGATAGGATGGTTCCCTGAAGACCTGAGGAGGTCATACTTAGGAGTCGTGAAGGATGAGAAAGAGCTCCCTTGAAGAGGGTCCATGGCAGAACATTCCAGGCAGGGGGTCCAGAACCCACAGACTCTAGGTTAGTGCTTCCCCAAGTGTGGTATGGGTAGCATACTGACTGACATAATTTGAGGTAATTTTAATGCATATTTATTTTTACAAATGCTTTCTATTTATTTCAAGGGATTGTGGCTTTCCATTTATGGTAGTGAAACAGTTTTAAAATAAATATAAGTGAAAAGTGAGTTGATTTAATGGAAAAGTATTAGGTAAAGAGTAAAACTGATACTCAGATATGGCAAAAATCATGAGGGGAGTACATGAATGATGAAATACTGAGTCTGAGAACTAAAAAGCCAGAGTAGCTACACAAAGGGAGTTAAATGCAAATTATGGAAAGGCTTTAAGTTGAGGGGTGACATGATATGATTGGTGCTTGTAAAAGATCACTCTTGTCTCTCTGTGGGGAATTAGAGGGTGGTGAGAGGAAGCCCAGTGACCACTTAGGCAGTTTCTGCAGTAATTCAGGTGGGTGATGAGGACTGGCGTTGGGGTGGTAGCTACAGAGATGGACTAATTTGAAACATCTTTTGGAGGCAGAATCTGTAAGACTTGCTGATCAACTGATAGGAGAGTAAGAGGACTGACTGGGGAAGTGGAAGAAAGCCCAGGTTTTCTGGCATAACAACTAGATGTGTGTGCATCACAGAGATGGCGGAGGACTAGGCCCTTCCAATAAGGTAGAGCGAGGCCTGTGGCAGCAGTGAAAAATGTGATTAGTAACCCTTTCCTGCCACAAACACACACCTAAAGTACTAGTGTGAATGTAAAAGAAAGCTTGCATTAAGGATATACACTATAAGTAGTATAGAGCCCTAGCTGGGATCCACTTGTATGTCTGTATTTCTGTGCATCATATAGAACCTTGAGGGGTTAGGAGCAAACCTAGAGGTAAACACCGGAGGAAATGGATACTGAAACCTTAAGAAACTCCCCATGTATGTTACAGATTTCAGGGCAGAGAGAAAATAACACAGTAACAATTCATTTCTGAATTTGATCAACCTACAATTGAAGGATCAGGAAATTACTTAAACTTTTTAAAAACACGATTTTGATTTGTCAGAATCCAGATTAGTGATCTTGAAATATTAGGGGTTAATTTATATACTTTGTCAGTTTCCTTAATGAATTTACCTGTTTTTAGGGAATGCAGAGTGTGATAGCATTCGCTACAGTCCTAACTCAAAACCAAACAATTAAGGGATTAAACCTAAACCGACCTGTACTTTATGGTGAACAGGTATGTATTCAAAGTGAGCAGTTAATAAGGCTACATGTGAATAAAATGAAGGTACTACTTACTGAAGGTTATGTCAAGATTCATGAATGCATTGTATTTTTAGAACCGTAAAGTACTGTTTACAAAGAAAAACTTGAAAATTTTAAAATCTTGGTAAAAGTTTTATAAATATGGTTTTAGATGTTGCTTAAACAGAAAACATGTCTATTTTTCTTATAAACTCATTCTCAGTGAGTAAACCTGTGAGGGGCAGAGGGCTTAAAATGAAAGCATAAATGATGAAAGTTTTAAAGGCTGGAGGATTATAAGAGCCCAGTGTGAACTGTTTTGTGATTTGTTTGTTCTTGTTACACTGATGTGATGAACCATTACATTTGAAATCCTGAGCTATAATGGCAAATTGCATATGAATAGCAGTCTGGGAGGTCTGGACTTGGTGCTTCAGGTAAGCTGCAGGCTAGAGACAGAAAGACGGTAAAAACATGGTTCCAACTCTCAAGGCTTCTCCTTGCCCCTTAACACTCTTAGGTGGCTCTCCTCTCTTATCAGCAAAATGCTAGGGAATAAGAACTCGTTTTACTATTGGTCTAAACAAAAACAGAATATCTACTAAAAGAAAAAGTTCAAGGACTTTGGTCTTTAAATCAGCTACTTCACTGTTCCCCATTAGTATGAGTAACTGAGAATTAACCATATTTTTAAAATATTTTTCATATTTGTAAGTATATTTTGCATTCGTTGTCTACATAGATCTCTCCCTTTGAATTATCTCTGTACTTTCCTGTACAAAAAATTTTGGAATTTTACATCATGTTAATTGCTTCATGTTTACAAATTTAATCTCAAAAAGACAACCAGAATCCTCAAATAGAAGAACCTACTTTAAAGACCAGCAAAACACCTGGCTCAAAGTAAGCATTCAGTAAATTGCTTCATTTCTCATTCTTCACTCAGTAAATATTTGAATGCAACCCTAAACAAGAAACAATGCTGGTGCCAGGGATAATCTCAAAGCACATAGCCCTCATTTTCAAAGAGCTTTTTTTCAGTCCACATGGAGGGAGATCCACAAGTCTGGAGAGTGATATGCTCAGGGTGCCTCGGGAGCAGGAGAAAAGACATAGAAATCAATGCAGGGGGATGAGAGGTGGCAGGGAAGCTTCTCAGATTGAGGACATGTTAAGAGATATGAAGGCTGAGTCAAACTTTCCCGGATTAAAGCCCTGAGGAAGTATGTTAAACTATATGAAATTATATTAGAAGCACAATCCCTCTTTTAAATGTTGAGCAGTGTCATTACTCCTAAATCCATCTGAGAATAGTTATTGAAAGCCCAGGGCCCCCCCCCCCCCCCCCACCACTAGAGAAAGCCCGTGCGCAGCAACAAAGACCCAACACAGCCCGAAATAAATTATTAAATAAAAATTTAAAAAGCCCAGGGCTCTTTCTCAGGCCCCAGACCTTGCTCTTAGCCTGGTGCTTCTGGGCAGTCAGATAAACTAGCCTGCTTTCTATTCCTCTCCAAGGCAACCACCATCTTCTATCCCTGACAGTACTATTCTCTTAAATGGTTGTGGAGTAGAATCCTCTTGTGCTTCCTCATACCTGCTGTTCCCAAATACAAGCCAGCAAACCTATTTCATTTAAGGGTTTTACTGTTCATTATCCGGGGAGCTTAGAAAAACGCTGATGCTAGGTGCCACCCTAGGCCAAACTAAGCCACAAACTGAGTGGAGCTAAAAAAAAACACCAAAAAACAAAAACCCTTTACTATTTGTGATACTAGTTCCCTTTCTTAATAAGGATGGTCCCTCTTTCAAATTTCTTGACCTAAAAATGCAGTCGAGACATACATCATATCTGTATTGAGTATATCCTCTGCTCCAGCACTATGCAGAGCAATACTGGACCTCGTAAGTGGTCAGTTTTCATTTAAGATTTCAGACTACAGCTTCCCTCTGCATATGTATTTTCAGTGTCAAAGCAATAACTTAAATCAGATACCGTATTATAGAATATTGAACAATAATAAATGCTTTGTGGTTTTTCTATAGAACACCAATTTTGTGCCAGGTACTTCTGTTAATTTATTTACTTCTGTGAGGGAAGTAAAATTTTACCTATTTTATATAGAAAAGGGAACTGGGACTCAGCTAGATGAAATAATTAGCCCAAAGTGATAAAGTTAGTACAAGGTAAAGCTAGCATTTGGACAGTTTTATTTTAAAGCTCATATACAATCTGCTATTGCTATATGATTTTATTTAACTTTTATTTTTTCTCAAAGTACTTTTAGATAATTCGAGCATATATGGCTATCCATGATCAGCATTTCCAGTGACTGTAAAACTTATAAAAACAGCAATAATGCATCAGGACTTCTTATCATAAAATACTTTGGCCCAATCATTTTAAGACATGCTCTGATTCTGTTAAAAATTTAAAGTGCTTGGTGTTCAGATTCTCACTGAGGTTATATACCTTTTGCCTGGAAGCAGCAGAGGAAGGAAGGAAGGGAGGAAGGGAGGGAGGGAGGGAGGGAGGGAGTCTAAAAACTACAAAGAGTGGAGATCAAGAGCAAAGTTTAGAAACATCTGTAAGGGGCAAGAACACCTTGTCTTGAGAGGACAGCAGTAAAGGAGCTTTCATGCTCAATTTTTTTTTTTTTTTTTTGGCCACACCGTGCAGCTTGTGGGATCTCAGTTCCCTGACCAGGGATTGAACCTGAGTTCCAGCAGTGAAAGCTCCAACTCCTAACCACTGGACCACCAGGGAATTCCCTCATGCTCAATCATGGGACCAATTATTTTGATTTATTTTTCCTGCTGAGATGATTGTTGCTTTTTTAGTAATGATTTTTTTTAACCAGCATCTCTTAAATCACTTAGTCACTGCACTTTACTAGTGCCTGCTGCCTGTTTCTAAGACAGTAAAGATATTTGTGGCAAAATGATTTTTTTAAAAAGCCATGCCAAACAAATTGCAAATCGTAGACTAATAATAGTCTTAACTGATAAAATCTTTTTAAAAAGCTAATTTAAATAACTTTGCATGTTTGGAATAAACATGTACTGCTTCAAAATTATATTCTAGAAAAAAGACTATCTATTTTTAGGAAGAGTCCACAGTTCATCTAGGCCACATGTTGAAAGAAAATCAGTGCCTTGTTGAACTACACCTGTGTAAGCATGACATAAAAAACTGTGGTATGAAACAGTTATGTGATGCACTGTGTCTGAACAGAAGCCTGCGCTACCTTGATGTAAGCTGGTAAGTGATAACTTATATATTAATTCAGGAGTTAAATCATGGGAATAATCTCTGTAAATATTCACTGTAGATAAGATTCTTTGTTAGACACTAATTCCAGAAATTAGAAAATGCAGCCATTGTTGTCAACTTTTTATCTTGAGCCTTAGTATTTATTCGGCTTATACCGATATAATAACTTGAGAGCAATTTAAATATGTAAACCAGAATAGAAGCAACATTTTATGGCAACTTTTTATTAACTTTTTGGAAATTGAGTGATTAAAATAAATCTTAACTAAAATAGAAAGTACTTATTACTATATAAGTTTTCAAGCATGCTATCTCTATGAATAAAAGAATACTTCATATTTCCAAATATAACTACATATTTTTCCTTTCCCAGCAATAAAATAACTCAGGATGGAATGGTGTGTTTGGCCGATGTACTGAAAAAGAATACTACCCTGGAAGTAATAGATCTTTCTTTTAACAGAATAGAAAATGCAGGAGCAAACTATCTCAGTGACACTCTTGCTTCACACAACAGGACTCTTAAAGCGTTAGTATGGTTTTATACTTAACCAAAATAACAAAGAAAACCTTAAATTTTTTAGAATATTAACCTTAAACCTCTTACCTCTTAAGATTCATGGTGAAATATGAAAACTCAGTTTCTAAATTGACATATTAAGTTACAGGAAACATTTCAATTTCTTCTATTTTTCAAAAGTAATCTTAAAAATTAGATTGATTCTAGTTATGACTGCTTAAAATTAATGAGAAAACTCTTATTTTATCCTGAATTCTAACAGAAAAATTATAATCATTCAATATGATCAAGACTCTAAAATAAGAATGAATCAAAGAAAATATTACTTGGATGACTTTATCTTGAAAAATATATCTGTAATCCACCCCAAACCTTTACTGAATAATAAATAGAAAACAATAGGCTGTTTATTTCCAAAATGTAGGTAGCTCTACTTAGGTACATGAAGTATCCAATTAGAAAACTAAGTTTCTTGGATTTTAGGAATTATTAGGTCAATATTTTGATTATACATTAAATGTATTTAATGCTAAGACTTAACACAAAAAAATGTGTGTAATAAATGCTGTTGCTAGCTTACGCATTCTCTTTGTGGAACTGTTGGTTTCCAGGGTTATTACTTTTTGGTTTTCCAAAGGTTGTCAGTGGTAAGCAACAACATAAAGGGAGAAGGACTTGTTGCACTTTCACAATCAATGAAAACAAATCCCACACTCTCTAATATCTACCTGTGGGGAAACAAATTTGATGAAGCTACATGTATGGTAAGTTTTTTTCTTCACTGAGGCTTTTTCTGGGGTTTTCCCTATAACGTCAGATGTTATATACAGATGCCTTAGACGTGATTACAAAGTATAATGAGACACTGCAGTTTTGATAAATTTTAATGTTAAGTCCTAAAAATTAGCTATTGGAAAGTTTTGTGGTTGAAATAGGAAAAGATATCAAATACTACATATTAGTATAAAGGTCACTGAATTACACAGTCCCAATTTCTCCAAAGTTTTTTTAAATCACAATTGTTGATTTATTTTAAATTTGCTGTGGCACAATCTCCAATCTGCTACCCAATAATTAAACCAAGACACAGAATTTAGAGAGATATAGTAAAAGCTGTCAAAATATTTGGTGTGTTGCTTATGTAAATACAGAGAACCCTTGATACTGCTTTCAACACACACAAAAAGCATAGTAACAAATAGTTTTCATTTGGAAAGAAGAGAAAGAAAAACAAGATGTTAGGGGACTTCCCTGGTGGCACAGTGGTTAAGGGTCCACCTGCCACTGCAGAGGACATGGGTTCAAGCCCTGGTCTGGGAAGATCCCACATGTCGCGGAGTAGCTAAGCCCGTGTGCCACAGATACTGAGCCCGTGCGCTCTAGAGCCGGTGAGCCACAACTACTGAGCCCACGCGCAGCAACAAAGACCCAAGACAGCCAAAAAAATATATATATATATGTTCGAATTCTCAGAAATTGCCAAAAGACTAACCAGAATTCTATCACTAAAAAGGCTAATAAAATGTACACTATTAAAAAAAAAAATCCTTGGGCTTCCCTGGTGGCACAGTGGTTGAGAGTCCACCTGCCAATGCAGGGGACACGGGTTCGTGCCCCGGTCCGGGAAGACCCCACAGGCCGCGGAGCAGCTGGGCCCGTGAGCCATGGCCACTGAGCCTGTGCATCCAGAGCCTGTGCTCCGCAACGGGAGAGGCCACAACAGTGAGAGGCCTGTGTACTGCAAAAAAAAAAAAGAAAAGAAAAAAAAACCCCTTGATTTCAGAAAAACATCATATCCACATTCTATACACTAGAGGCTGAGCTGAGTTGGAACTACTAATGACAAGCTACAGCAGAAAGCAACTAGACTTTTGAATCTTTTACTGTCTAATTTCTGCCTTTCTCTATAATCGCAACCTTACTGACAAACTAGTTTAACATGTTTGTACGACACTTTTATGTAGATATCAATGATCCATAAGAGATATACAAAGAAAATTCTACAATGAAGAAATAATTAGTGGCCAGCCAGGCCAGCATCTCATACTGGTCTCTAGTCTAAGCCTAAATCTATAGATTATCTTCAGAGGGTCCATGAACTCCATACAGTTGTATGCCAAAATCTGTGATTGTTTATTTTGCTGAAAAATGGATCCCTGGCTGTCATCGGATCTTCAAGGGCATATACAACAGCCCTCCATCCTTATTTATGAGTCAGTCACCTTAGGACTTGAAAATTTTGACCATGAGACCTCTGGTCCACAAAATTGGTAATACATAGAATTGTTATCTCGGGGAGTCATGAAACAACAAAACATGCCTAATAACGTTAAAATGTAGAAATAAGTTTTGCAAGATTGTAATTACATTGTGTGGAATTAATAAAAACTACAATGCCTGGAAAATAAAATTCAGCAGTGTTATACAGAATATTTTAAACTATAAATTATCACATTTAATTTGAATGTTGATATTTGTTTAAGCACTGTAAAATGAATAAACTGTTTTCTTAATGATACAGTTTTTCTTAAAAATCCTAGACATATTCAGATTTAATTCACATGGGCCGTCTAAAATCAGACAATACAGATGTGGAGCCATATGTGGTGGATGGACACGTGTACCTTGCAGAAGTCTCCAATGGCCTTAAAAGGCATTATTACTGGACACCAGGTTATGGAGAAGCTTGCAGCCTATCATCTAATGCAGGTCTTACTCTTGTACCAGTAGGTCAATATCTATGAAAAACAAGCTTTAATTTTCATATATTTGTCTTATTACTCTTCACGGAGATTACATTTTATTGTCTATTAAATTTTCTTTCATAAATTAGAACAATGAAAAGAGATACTAAACTGTGAGTAACTGTCCATTGTGAAAAACTGAGTAGTGTAATTTTTTCAAAGAAATTTAGCAAAAGAGGGACTAAAATTTGAACACCTGGAGAAGGAAATCAAGGAACTAATTTCTTTTTATAAAGAAAATATACCCAAAGAGTAAAGTAGCATACAAGGAAAGGTCATTATAGGTATCCTAACTGAAAGTTGTCATGAAGTGGTAAAAAGGTTTCAGGTGGCAGATTCCAGGGCCTGTCAAGGGGTTTAGAGGTTGAAAAAGTATTTTAGGTATTTTACAAATGGGTATTGATACAATTTCACAAATACAGGCAAATATATATATACATATACAAATACATATAAATGTATACTTTCCAAACAAGTCAGTGCTGCCAGTGAACTTTTAAAAAAGATAATTCTCTCTTTTGGAGGATGCCAATAACATTTTCATGATTTGACGGCAAACAATTACTGTTGTCTGTGGTCAATCCTGTTTTCAAATTAAAATTTCTATGAAGAGGCAACAGACACCACGATCCTTTGATTACACACCCATGTTCACAAATTAATTCATACATACCACTTAACTGTTTAATCTGAATGATTTATTACTGCTAAAGCTGGCAAAGTGTGAGAAAAAAAATTTTATGTGAACAATTTAAAGAGGTTACTTGAAGTTCTGCAGTCTAAATGGAAAAACCATCTGTCTCTAAATGTTGAGAGGAATAAAGGTGATAGCTTTACAGTTGTCAAAGTATTGGCCTTCACTTAAAGTACTGGGAATTCCTCAAATCACAGCTGTATTTATTCAAAAAATTTAACATTACAGAAAACCCCCACATCTGTCATTGTCCATTCCTTTAATAGATTAAAGAATTAAATATGCCCTACTCACTACTTAATGATTCTTAAAGTTTAACAGGTTTTTCCTTATATTCAGCACCTCATACACACTTCCATACTCCCTGGGGAAACTGGGGTGGTGGTGATGAAGGGGTGGCACAGATGGTGGTGGTGGTTATGAAATGGGAAGAACATCTGAATAAATTATATGAGCCATGATTTACATTTAATGTTCTAGAGCTACTGAGCCAGAAAAGACCTAAATGCCTTACCAAATCCATTCTCATGCTTTCAGAGAGATGAATCTTATTTTACTTAGTTATTAGCTTTTATCAAACTTTAGTTTCCAGTGTTCTCTACATGTTTCAGATCTTACTTTCTTTCCACTTTAAGATCTCTCCTCTGCAGATATAAAGACTAGCTGTTTTTTACCAAGTTCTTTTACATTATTACATGCTGAATATAGCTAGAAATAATTAACTGTATCTAAAAAAAAGTTGTGTGTCCGAGGAAAGTCATGTCTATAGTGTTAAAAATGCAATAGGAAATTTAAAAAAATTTTGTCTTTTGATCAAATTTGAAAAACTGCAGAATTCAATGAGTGCAAGAAAACCATGGTGTAGGAAAAAATACAAACATTTCTAACAACTGTCATTACATTTGGAAAACATTAAGCTGGTGAGGAAATGCTACTCCTAGCAATTAGATAGCCAATAAACTCAGACTTGAGAAACACTATGACAGACTTCTGTCACAGACACTTGAACATCTGTCCAAAGAGTAAAGACAGTTCAAACTGAAGATACTAAATCAGCATTTTTTAAAGTATGGAGCATCAGAATCACCTGGGGCAAATGTTAAAAATACAGATTCTTAGAGTGAGAGCTACTGAATCAGAATTTCTGAGGACAGTCTGGGGAATCCGCAGTTTTTCAATCCAGGTCATCTTTAATCTCACTGAAGTTTGAAAACCAATGCTCTGGTTTTCTTTCTTCAAATTAGTTTCTTTAATATATACTTCTTTTAAATGGAAGTATCTAAGTGAATAGCGAGATGAATTATCACAAAGCTAACCCATCTGTGTTAACCAGGACCCAGATAAAGATAGTAAATGCCATAAGCTTCCCCAGAACCACCTCCAACCATCTTCCAATAGACAACCACTATCATGATGTCTAACATCACAGAGTAGTTTTGCATGTTTTGGAATTTTATATAAATGGAATCATACAGTATATATACGCTTTGTGTCAGACTTTTTTGTACATTATATTAGTACAAGTCGTTCATGTTGTTTAATGTAGCAGTGTCTATTCAGCTTTCATTGTTTTGAAGTATTCCATAATATGCTGGGTAGTAGAGGAGTCCACAGGATTCTGGAAGAGATACTCCCAGGCTAGGACACAGCCATATCAAAGTAAACCTTCCTAATGCAGTTTGCTTTCCCAAGCTACTCTCTGTTCCTCTGTACTACAGAGGGGACCCACAAGTTCCTCTATTCTCCCAAGGGGAGATTGACAAGGTAGCTGAGTGGGAAGCAAATAGGTAAATGGGAAGTAGGCTTATCTGGAGCCTGCAGTGGAGTGGCATGTGCTAAACCTGCAACCTGACTTACACGGGACTGCTTGAGACATCTTTGCAGAAGTCTCAGAGCTCTCTTCTCCACATCCAAGAGAACTAAGGTGAAGCCAGGTCAGCCAAGAATTACTGGGCTCTGACCAGGCTAAGGAAAACCTGATGACATATTTTACAAGCTGTTGCCTATTGCATGAGAGGCCAGCAGGATGCTCAGAGAATAGAGTGAAGACAGTGTCTTCCCTGATGCCATTTTGTCATGCAAGCCTCCTCTCCTCCCCATATATGTGGACAGCATTTTAGAGAGAAGACAAAGGGTAGAAATAAGACAGCAATTTTCAAAATGTTCAAGCACTACCTTAAGATATTATAAATTCTAGCTGCTTTGTATCAGATTAGGTTTTAAAGTGCCTAGGACTAAAAGTTAATTTTTTTCTAGACTTCCCACTGGGTGCAAGAGTTCTGTAGGAAAATTCCCCTTCTTCTGCACATCTGAATTGTAACGAGCAAATCTGCAATCATATACATGTTATACATTTCCTTCCATTTTCCTCTTAGCAATCATCCTTTAAGATCCAGCTCAAATTACAGTGTTACAGACTCTATTATGCTCATCATTTAACAAAGTTTCAAGTTTGAAGCAAAAAAGCAAGAAATAAAGTGGTTTGTACCTTTTAGATATTTGATAAAATGATCTTGTTTGCTGTACGCACTCTGCTTTTCAAACTAAATGGTAGTATTCATTATGTCTTATCTACTACTCAAACCATATCAACCTGGGTTCTACTCCCACTATTACTACTGCAGCTGCCTTTCTCAGGGGATCATCATGCTCCAATTACCCAACCCAATTACTCAACCCAATGTTGTCTTTGATTTGCATCCTATCTAATTTCTCTGTACCACGTGATCAGTACAAAGCCACTTTTGTCTTCGTGAAACTTGCATCACCCTGGTTTTCTTCCTATTATCACTTTCCATCTCCTTTTCTGTCTTTTGCTCATTCTTACAATGCATTTCCCCCAAGATTTTGTCCTCATCTTCTGTTCTTCTTTACCATCTCCCAGGGTTGCCTAAATCATTTCTATCACAATAATTATTAGCCTTATGCTGCAAGATCTGTTTCTCTAGCTTTAAACTCTGCTGGGTTTCAGTCCCCATTTCCAACTACTGCTAGACATTTTCACATAGGTATCTCACCACTGATCAAATTCAGCACATACAAAATAAAGTCTTCTCTTCCATAAACCTCCCCCTTATCTTGCCTAGCAGTTAATGGCACCTCCATATACTCAATCGCTGAGGATCAAAACTTAGGATTCTAAATTGAAACTGCCTAACTACATGCAACAGAAACTGACTCAAGCCTGCTTAAGTAAAGGTGGATTTAGGGAATTTGCGGGTTCAGTCCCTGGCTGGGGAAGTAAGATGCTGCAGGCCGCGCGGCACGGCAAAAAAAAAAAAAAAAAAAAAAAGAGAAGAAAAAGGAAAGGGGGCTTTACTGTAAGAATTTAATAGGCAAAAATCACTGGCATGCAGAACAAGGAAATGAAGCATAGCTGTGTGACCTCAAGAAAGGTCTGCAAAGCCAGAAACCAAGCCACTTCTCTCACAGGGCCTCAGTCGCTTGGTTCTGCAAACCTACTTCATCCCCTTGCTTCGCTCTACAGGTCAGCTTTCTCTGCTTCTTCACTATTTCTTTTAGACTTTGGCTTGCTTCAGTGACTCTGGACCAGATCTAAATGATCTTTTCCATGTACACCAATACCTAGGAAGTCTCTGAATTTCATAGCTCAAATTCTTAAGAAAGTCGCTCCGTTTGGCCTAAGAATTGTTTCTCCCTGGTAAGCTGTTCGTCAGCTGTGGTCACAAGTATAGAATCATATGTTACAAGTGTGGCTGTCTAATCCCTGCCCTTCAGCAGTCAACTGTAGTTGAGTGTGTGAGATCCTGGATTATAAACATGGCTATCTAATCCCACTCTTTCAGCACAGGCTAAAGGTAGAGGACTATTTCAAGGTGGTATAGATAGTGCTAGATGTGTCTTTGATTCCTATCTCTGCCACCACCTTTCAGACTTTCTCTCCATTCTCCCTACCTCAGTCAGCTGTGTACAAATTCCTCCCATTAGCAATCTCCTCTTGTTTGCCTATCCAGGGGAGTAACAGCCCTTTCTCTGTCCACTCAACTTCCATTGACTGCTCAGCATTTCCTTTCTTTCCTTCCTCCACTATAACACTTGGCATTCAGGCTTGTCTTTCCCACTTGACTGTAAACTTAAAAGAGGAGATCATTTTATTAATCTTTACAGCTGTATGTATTCTGATTTCAATAATTTTCCAGCATTTGAAATAATGGCCAGGTATTTTAATCCAAATATCTGATTCACATCCATGGTGTTTATTTCAGTATATTCTTGAAATTAAATACCCTATTTCTGAATGATTACTGTGTTTACATGATAATTATCTAAATTCCTTAAGCAAATACACCAAATCTCTGTTCAGTGAAGGGGGGGCAGGGGTTATAGAGGACAGGCGAGTAGACCATATCACTGTCTCAAGAAATGCTCCAATAACTAAAT